TTCCCACGCGTGTCGCGGCCGTGCCGGAGGCTGGATCCGCGGGAACRGGAGCTGGGATTGGTACCCGGAGCTGGGATTGTCCCCCCTCCCCGCCCCGCATCCCGGCGGGCGGCCCGGGAATGCTTTTGGCGGCGCCTCCAGCCTCCTGACAGCAAAACGGATCGGYTTTGGCGAGGTGTGTGAAAAAGCCCCTGCAGAGCCGATCCCAGCCGCGATAAGTGACAACAAGGCACTTTATTAGTATTTTATATAAACTCCCGGGTGCTGGGAGATAAGCGCCCAAATTAGGAGGCGGGGGGCGGGGAGGAGCGGCTGGTTAAACGGGGATCCACCCGGCTGAGGCTTGAAGGGCGAGGAGAGACCGTGGGTGCGCTGCCCCTCTCTGTGTCCCCGCGGTGACACTCGAGGACATCTCTCCCTCCGCCCCCCTCCAGCAGCGCCCATCCTCAGCCGCCCCCGGGGCTGCCCTCGGGCTGCCGCGGAGCAGGGAGGGAGCCGGAGAAAGGGAAGGGAACTGTTTAATAGATCCTCCGAGGATTCCCCTAGAGCATTATTTAAACTTCTAATTATGATTCATGTGTGTGATAATATTAATTTAATAATCAAGGAGCTGTGCAGGAAGCATTAACCTCAATTAAGCTCATTACTACTCTAACCTGGAATCCCCAGGGCTTTTAAATCTTCTACTATGAGGACCTGACACTGCATTGATAGAGGGCGAGATCTGCTTCAGAATCTTTTCTTCTTCCTAAATCATTTGCCTTCGTGGGTAGAGTTAATTAATTCCCTGATTTTAGCTTGGGTGGGAGGGGGTGGTGTGGGTGGATCCCCACTTTCCCGAGGCGAGATGGACATCCCGAAGTGGCCGCTGGTCCTCAGTTCTGCCCTGCATGGGGAGATGCTCGCGGGGCACAAAATCAGAATGAGACCAAGAGCCACGTGCGAGGCTCGGGGCCTGATCCCCCAGCCTGCTTGCGGCCTCAGGTTATTAGTAGTAGCAATAATAATAATAATAGTAGTAGTAGTAGTAGTAATAATAATAATAATAATAATAATAATAATAATAATAATAATAATAATAATAATAGAGTAACCCTTCCAGAGCAAGATGAATTTTGGAGCCCGATTGCGTTTGGAAAAAAATACATGGAAGACCAGAAGTCCAAAGGAGGTTCTGCCCCCTTCCGTAGCCGGGCAGAACCATGGAGAGCCCCCACGCCCGCAGGACCCCGGAGCTGCGGGCAGCGCCAAGCGCGGAGGGACGCGGAGCATCCGCGCCTGGCGCAGCCACCAGAGTGACCTTCTCGGCGCAATGAGGGCTGCTAAATTGTTTTACCGCGGCGATAAATGCCCTTAATTACCCGAAGCTCCAGACCCCCAGGGACGGGGAGGAGAGGGATGGCTGGAAAGCAGTCAAAAAGAAAAAGAAAAAAAAAAAAGAAAAGGTTGTTCGTTCATCTGGAGGTCGCTAAAAATATAATTTGAAAATCGGTAATAACTAATTAAGTTTAAACCCGCTCATAGCCGTGGGGAGGAGCGGGACCCCCTCCTTGAAGCCCAGCATCCTCGGACGCCAGGGACCCCCCGGCTTCGGGGCTGCCGGGGGCACCCCGGAACCCGCAGAGTGTCCGGCCTTGCTCCCTCCTGGGGTGAAGGGTGACCGGGCACCAAATATTATAGASAACAGCCGGGACAGAGCCCTCTGCGGGGTCCCACCTTCCCTGCCCTGCCCTGGCACAACCAAGGCATCGGGTCCCATCCTCAAACGCGACACCCCGGGGGCACCCGGGGGTCGGGGTGGCCGAGGGACCGGCGGCTCCCGGGAGATGCTCAGGCCACGGGTGYCTTGAGGCTCTGGAAATATCACCTCCCCGCAGGTATAATTCAGCCTAACTACAGAGATAACCATCGCTGCGGCGGGGAGGCTCGTAAAAACGCGAGGGTGTTCCGTGTGATTCCCTATTTATTTCGGAGAAGGAAACGTTTCCGTGGGAGCTTTCCTCAGCAGGGCAAGGGATCSGGGCCCAAAATTCGGGGACTGCCGCCTGCCTGGGGGTGCCCTGCCAGCCCCTCACCCCCACCCCCTTCCAGCTGGCCCCGCAGGACAGCGTCTCTCGGACGAGTGAGTCAGGAGAGGCTGTTGCTCGTCCATCCTGCAAGGAAAATGGAAAGAGGGGAAGACGGGACCGGTCACCCGGCCCGACCACTGGCGAGATATTGCATGTCACAACTCATCTAGGGCCCCATAATCAGCGCTAACTTTCTGGTGAACAGATAACCAGAGATGGCAGATGGATGGAGATTGCACAAATGAGGCTCTAATTGACAATCAATTGTGATTAGGAGCAATAGAACATCTTTATAACACTCGCTTTAAACCGCCAACAAACAAAAGCGCCGGGCGGGCTGGGGGTCCCGGCGGGATGGGGCCCGGCAGTGCCTGCCCAGCATCCCTGCGCACCCCCCTCGGCTCCCGGGGAGAGGGGGCTGTGTCTGTTAGTGCCTGGGAGCACATCGGGGCCAACAGGAGGTGCCTCTGTTTGGGGGTGCTCCCCAGGGATGGGGGTCCTTCTGCTCCCAACACCCAGCGCTAACCTGTGAATCTGCGCTGCTGTCGCCGCTCTGGGCTCCGCACGCCTGGGAACGGTCCCTGCCCGGGCACACGAGTCAATTACAATTAGGATAATGTTTTTTTTCCTAAGACGCACTGACCCAGGCAATAAAAAT